TGTCGTTTTATTCCAATTTATTTACAATTTATTTACCATGTTTAAGGTGATATGAAAGGGTCATTCTTTTTTATATTGTTTTTATTTTTTATTTCTAGGGCGGAATTTCTTTTCATAAATTAACATTCTTTATTCTCTCTCCACGATTAAATATCGTTTTATTCCAATTTATTTACAATTTATTAGCAATGTTTAAGGTGATATGAAAAGGTAATTCTTTTTTTATACTGTTTTTTATTTTTAATTTCTAGGGCGGAATTTCTTTTGATAAATTGACATTCTTTATTCTTTCTTCAGGATTAAATATCGTTTTATTCCAATTTATTTACAATTTATTAGCAATGTTTAAGATGATATGAAAGGGTCATTCTACACTGATAAAAAAAGAAATTCATTGAACCTAAGTTAAATTTTTTTTAATTCCAGGAATTATTTGACTCTAATAAATTGTCATAATTTTGAATAAATGTTGCATTCAATTTATTCTAGTTCATTTGAGTCAAATAATTGTTATTTGAATTAACAGGATATTTCTTTGTTATTATTCGAAGAGATAATTTTATGAACAGAGCCAAAGAAATATTTTGTTAATTCAAAGAATAATTATTTGACTCGAATAAATTTTCGCGATTAATTGTCTTTTTTTTTGCATTCATAAGCGAGTCGGATTGAGGTTATCGAAATTCTTGCAAATTGTGGGAGAACGTGAAAAAATGTTGGCATTGACGTTCGCGTTTCTTCGCCGAGTGGAATTTGTTTAACCTTATCTCTCGGGAGTGTTTAACCGATAAGACAAAAGTTACATCGAAAACAAATGAGATTGTGAAACTAGAGTTTTACGTTCGCGGAATTCCAGATAGGGACATTTGCGTGCTTGTTTTCACGATTCTAAATGTTTGTAACAGTTTAGACCGTTATCACTCGACGTATTTCGAAGAAAAGAAATATTCAAATGCGACAAAGTCCTGTTTCTTTCAAAAAACTTCTTCGTTTGGGGTTAATCGTTAGTTTAGACGGAGGTCCGCACTGTCCGGCGGTTCGTTGACGACTGAGAGGTTCTCCGCGCGCCAGCGCCGTCGCGCGGCGGAAAATGCAACCACTCTCTAGGAAAAACACGATTTGCCGATAAACTTCTCCTTTTACTAAAGTAATGATCGTACTAACAACAAAAAAAAACCAGAAAACGCAACATAACATTTTTAACCGAATAATTGCTAAATTAGTTTCTCGCAATTGTTGCAATTGTTACAAAATTCGGTGCTGGGAGATTCAAGCGTCATGGTTAGAATGCAAATGTACAATGTTGAAATTTTGGTTAAAGTTCGAAGGTGAATTTTTAAAAATATATATTCTTCGGTGATATTTTTTGGTTCCTTGTCCAGCCTTGTCTCGATTATTGGAATCGTCATTTTGATCGTTTTTACAGCCGATCGATCGATCGATCTCGGATTCAGGGACACTTCGAGCGATCGCTCGAATCCAGTTCAGGGCCGAGTGGGAATATAGGAACTCGTATAAAATCACGGCCGTTTATCTGCTTTTTTTTTTCTCTTGTTTTCCCTTTCTTCGTTAGCTTCTTTCGACATTAGAATATTAAACGAGAAGTACTTCTCGCTGTCGACCTTCCCTTGCGATAAATGGAACGACTCGCATCCTCCAAACGGCGCGTTGCGCCTCTACTCGATATATCTGTTTATCGACCAAACGATGCACTTTGCAATAAAATAAGTGAAACAAAAGTTGTTCGGAACAGTGAGTGGCACAACTTTTGTTGGAAACATTTTTCGATATTGTGGATTCTTGAGCGGAGAATCCTCAGGCGAAACTGGAGAAGCGTTGAGATACATCATTTTTCCTTCGAATTTTCACGAAAAATTCAATTTTTCGCAAAAAGTAGACTTAACATGGAAAAATGATTCCTCTAAAAGTTTCCCTCGGTAAACTGAGGAACAAATTTTGTTAGAAACATTTTTCGATATTGTGGATATTTGAATAGAAAAACGTCACGTGATAGGGCGTTGCAACTCATCCTTATTCCATTGAATGTTCACGAGAAATCTAATTTCTCGCGAAAAGCAGGCGTAACGCAAGAAAATGTTTCCCGCAAAAGTTTTTCATAGCAACACGAGGAACAACGTTTGTTTGAAACGTTTTTCTCTATCGCGCACCGTTACCGAGAAATATAATGTCTAATGGGGACGTTACCTCAAAATATAATTTCTAATAGAAACGTTACTGTGCTATACAATTCCTAATTGGGACACTGCCTTGAAATACAATATCTAAATGGGACATTACCGCAAAATACAATTTCTAATCGGGACGTTACCCTAAAATACAATTTCTAATTGGTTCGTTACCGCGAAATGTAATATCCACTTGAGACGTTACCTAGAAATACAATTTCTAATTCGGATGTTACCCCGAAATACAATATCTAATTGGGACATTATCGCGAAATACAATTTCTAATTGGGACGTCACCTCGAAATACAATTTCTAATCGGGACGTCACCTCCAAATACAATTTCTAATCGGGACGTCACCTCCAAATACAATTTCTAATTGGGTTCTTAACACAATATGTAATGTCCACTGAAGACGTTACCTAGAAATACAATTTCTAATTGGGACGTTACCGCCAAATACAATTTCCAAACGGGACGTCACCTCGAAATACAATTTCTAATCGGGACGTCGCCTCCAAATACAATTTCTAATTGGGTCGTCACCACGATATGTAATATCCACTTGAGACGTTACCTAGAAATACAATTTCTAATTCGGACGTTACCTAGAAATACAATTTCTAATTGGGACGATACGTGGAAATATAATTTCTAATTGGAGCGTTTGCCGATTGGGTGACTCGAGGCGACCCGAAGTGACGCCGATCCATTTACGGATATAGCCCCAAATATACTCGGAATTCGCGAGAAGTTGACGCACGAACCAGTGAAAATAGTTGACGTCCAACGACGCGGAGGCCGACGTCACGGTCGTCGGCGACGTCGGCGTCGCCGACGGTGCGTGGGCGGCGATCGCCGCTTCCCGTCTGCTGCCAGCTGCTGCCAGCTACTATCAGCTACTATCAGCTGCTGCACGCAGAAAAAAGGATTCACAATCCTAACAAGAAATTTTACTTGTTGCAACTAATGGGAATGCTTGAAAATGGACTGCTACATTTTTGCTCAGAAACATTATATTGTTATACTAACATTTTTCAATATTTAAATTTTGAAACATTTTCGTTATACCAACATTTTTCAACACTTAAATTTTGAAACATTTTTGTTATGCCAACATTTTTGTTATACCAACATTTCTCAACATGTAAATGTTGGAACATTTTGGTTCTCGCGAACATTTTTCAACATTTAAATTTTGAAACATTTTTATGCCAACATTTTTGAACATTTAAATTTTGAAACATAAATTTTGAAACATTTTTGTTATAACAACATTTCTCAACATTTAAATTTTGAAACATTTTCCTTATACTAACATTTTTGTTACGCGAACATTTTTCAACATTTAAATTTTGAAACGTTTTTTACGTCAACATTTTTGTTCGGAAACATTTTGTTACACCATTTTTCAACATTTAAATTATGAAACTTTTTTTATGCCATCACTTTTGTCCAGAAACATTTTTGTTATACCAACATTTTGAAACCTTTTTGTTATACCAACAGTTAACCGAATTTTAGTTCACTTTACCAAACTCGGTGCTTCGGTTGTCATTTTGTTAATTTTAGAAAATCGTTTTGCCAATTAAACGAATATTATGGTTCAGTATCCCAAATTGCAAACACCTTTTTTGTCCGTGTACAAGCTGCTGCCAGTTGTTCCCAACTGCTCCCAGCTGTTTTAGGTTAAGTCGGGAATGCTTTCCCTTTTCCGTTCCGCTTCAGGGTCAACTTCTCTGCCGGACATTCTTTGTCCCGGCACTTTCTTTCCGAGAACGAGGCGACGTCTCGGTGATCCTAAAATTACACCGCCGACTTAATTAACCCTCAACTCCTATCTGTATTTTCTTGTCCGGTCGAAATCTATACCTATAATGTCTCTTAAGGTGAAGTGAACCCCCCCTCAAATCAGTCGACTCGAATAAGACACTTTTTTTAAGGTGAAGTGAAACACGTCGAGGAACTTGTTCGACGTCGATAAAGAAGATTTTTCTGAATGCCTACGTTGCCGACGTTGGTTTTTATATCGACAGCTGGGTCGAATTATATTGGGTATTGTACCAAATGGCATACTCCACCTGTCGTTTTCGTACAATAATTATAAAGAAATCGAAGTAAAACTCCAGAAATCCTCTGGATTCGTGCTTTCTGGGGCCCTAATTGACTGCAGAGGGACCCCCTGCGCCATCTGTGATTTCCAGGTCAATTAAATCTTCACTCCGAGACCGCGTATTCCCATCGTTTTAGCATAGAAGCGCATACAACACTTTTTTTGCCTTTATCCCGTTCAAATGCGAGTTTATCGATTACCAGAGTGTTCTAAATTGTCGTAAAATTGTCCTGACCCTTTCGATTCTCATATCAGAGCATTCGATAATTGTATTTCGATCGAAATATGAGAGCTCGACGCCATTTTGGTTCTGGTCTGGGCTGTTAAGAAATTTTTTTGAAAAATCCAAATTTTGAATGTGTCGGGACAATTCTTAGATGATCAGGAGTGACGTGTCAAAGTTTCGGGCAGTTTGGTCTAATACCCTAAAAAAAAAGTGTTGTACTCGAATCGACTGATTTTAAGGGTGTTTCACTTCACCTTAAGGGTATTGAATGAATAAACTCGGTTTCGAGCTAATACATTTGAGCGAGAAAATTTATTTGACGCGGAAATCGTAGATGGCGCAGGGGGTCCTTCTGCAGTCAAGTGTGATTCCTAGTTAAACCCGACCGAATAATTAGCAATAACAAAATATTTGTAATTATAAGGCTACCAAATTAATAAGAGACTGAAAATGATGGATGTCATCTCATGTGCAGGGTACACAATCCAGGCTCGAGGTTATGCCAAAGGGGACGAATCGCCATCCAGGATGCTGACGGTGATGTGCCCGAACTGCCGGCACCGGTTCCCGGCGCCAGGTTGCTGTTCTACCTTACCGACCGACCGGCTGGTAGGTGGAGCTCCGGACTGTGGTGGTTACTACGGAGGAGGACTTCTGGTCCCCCGAGGGTACACGAGCGGTGGAGGGTGCATAATAAACGCTCCAACCATCATCCACGGTCCGGCGATCATCCAGAATTCGCGTGTCCAGGAGTCAATCAAAAGCAATCAAGACCGAGGAAATCGGCAAAACGCCTTCCGGTACCAAGAAACGGCCTCCAGGTCGAACCAAACGACCCAATCCGAAGGATCTCGCCATTCTCAGCAGTCCAAATCCTCGATTTCCTCCCCGCTGGCTCCAGAATGCCACATAACGACAACCTGCGACCTGACCGGCGGTAGCGTGACGATAACAACCCCCAGCATCCAATCCGGAGGCTGTCTGATCCAGACCAGCGACTCCGGGATCCTGGTCCAGGCCCCTAGGATAGAGATCAGGCCAAAACTGACGAACGGCGGCTGTTTTGTGCAGAAGAGACTGTCCACCTCGGACCCAGAAGAAGATAACAACCTCCTGAGCGACGAGGAGGACGTGGAGGCGCTCTCCCCTGAGCACTTATCCTCCATAGGCTCCCCAGGGTTGCTGTTCCAAAGCCCGGAGTCAGCGACCTACACGCTGCCGAGTGGTTGTCAAGAGTTGCCGGGGACCAGGAGGAGCCCATCGCCTAGGAGCTCCAGGAACAGCTGCAGGAGTGAGAGCCTGGACCTTCTGCGGCTCCAGGAGCCCTGCTACACCAACTCCGGAAGCGGCGACTCCAGCAGTAACAGCTGCTCCGGTCGTTTCGGGTCGCGGAATGGGAACCAGGACCACCTATCGCTCCAGGAACATCATCAGCAGCCAGGAAAACACAAGTCCACGCAGGACCAGGGTGCTGGACAACGGCGGAGCTGTTGTTGCTGCTGTGGGGTCGTCCAGCAGAAGGTGTGCCAGGTGCACAGCGGGCCCGGGCAGGTGTCCTCCTGTCTGGAGGGGATTGACCCGGGGAATGGCCAGGCATCCGTGCAGATCCGCGTCAATGCCACCGTCCAGCTGCCGCCAAACGTCGGCCAGTGCACTGTGAACATCACAGCTACCACGGAGTCAGGATGCAACGCCAGCAGCGCGCGGAACCGCAACAACTTCCACGGGGGTGGTCTGGTGCAACCAGAAGGGGCTCAGCCCGCTGCAAACGACAACAGGAGGGACGAGACCCCCACGACCCCGGTCTCCTGGTTGATGCCCTGTCCCTGGGGTTTCGATAGCTACCTCCTAGACAAGGTGGTCAACAGACTCTGCGAGGCCAAGCGGCTCCTGCAGATCTCCGGATGGTACCACGAGGGCCTCAGCTGGCAGCAGAGCGAGAACCTGCTGAAGGAGGCACCCGTTGGAAGGTGGCTCCTGAGGGACAGCTCGGACTCCAGGTACACCTTCGCCGTTTCCGTCCAGACTGCCAGGGGACCCACTTCCGTCAGGGTCCACTACTTCCTGGGGAGGTTCCGACTCGATGCCGAGTCCAGGTTGGCGCTGGCCATGCCGCTCTTCGAGTGCCCTATCAAGATGCTGGAGTACTATGTGGAGTACTCCAAGAGGCTGGAGGAACAACGCGAGGTTTGGGTGGATTATAGTGGGCAGATTTATAGCCAGATCTATCTCACCAAACCCCTCGTCAAGGAAGTGTGCTCGCTCTCGCACCTGGCCAGACTGGCTGTTAATAAGAACAGACTGCCTACTGATAACCTGCCGCCTCTTATCAAGAACTACCTGCAGGAGTATCCGTATTGTCTCTGAGGATTGCGGGGATTGGAGCTGGAGGGGTCCTTGTATGATGGTTTTGATGGAAGAGGGTGAGGACAGGTCGTTGTCGCTATTTTGGATGACGCATCACGTGATGGGTCCTTGGATGATGGTTTTGATGGAAGAGGATGAGGATGGGTCATTGTCGCTATTTTGGATGACGCTTACATCACGTGATGGGTCCTTGGATGATGGTTTTGATGGAAGAGGGTAAGGACAGGTCGTTGTCGCTATTTTGGATGACGCATCACGTGATGGGTCCTTGAGTGATGATTTTGATGGAAGCGGCTGAGGATGGGTCATTGTCGCTATTTTGGATGACGCTTACATCACGTGATGGGTCCTTGGATGATGATTTTGATGGAAGAGGATGAGGACAGGGCGTTGTCGCTATTTTGGATGATGCTTACATCACGTGATGGGTCGTTGTTGCTATTTTGGATGACGCTTGCATCACGTGATGGGACCTTGGATGATGATTTCATGGAAGAGGATGAGGACAGTTCATCGTCGCTATTTTGGATGACGCATCACGTGATGGGACCTTGGCTGATGATTTTGATGGAAGAGGATGAGGACAGTTCATCGTCGCTATTTTGGATGACGCATCACGCGACTGTCTGGGCCTACAATCACCAAGATCGACGTAGCTAAAGACGTGATGGGTCCTTGGATGATGATTTCATGGAAGAGGATGAGGACAGGTCGTTGTCGCTAATTTGCATAGCGTTTGCATCACACAACCAAGGACTGTCCGCCCCAGCCGTAGCTAATGGTCTTGATGATCTGATGATTACCTTAGTTCAAGTTCTACGAGCAACGGAATTTGATGAGACAAAATAATCTGATGATCATCATGGTCCAAGTCCTACGAGCAACGGAGTGAACTCACCCTGCACTTCTGAAAAAAAAACCGCCGCTAAACGTCCCCATCACGTCTTTTGATGATGGCTTGTCCATTTCTGGATCATCAGAAGATTGTCAACTCCCGTTGTGTCTGATTGTATTGGCCAGACATTTCCAACATGTCTACGGATTTGGATGATGCCGCAAGATGGATGGAAGCGACACACATTTGGGATCTGCTCGCCTCGGAAAGTGCAACGCGATAGATCGGAATTCTCCCTCTGGGAGAGTCGGAATAATTCTTTTAGTAGCGCCTTCTTCCAGCTCTACGGATTAAAGAGACTTTATTTTTATAAAGATGACCGCTACCTGTCCCTAGTCGGTTGGACCGACTGATGAAGTCACACGGCGTATAAGGATGTGACAAAGGACGAAGCGAATTATTATTACCAGAGTTAAGGGAGGCATACGGTGTGTCGGAAAGTCCGGAGGTGGAGAAGTCTCGTGCCTACGCAACCGTCCCACACTTTCTTCGGACTGTGGACTCCCGTCTCGAAGAGTGTTCAAAAGAAAGACTTACTCGCTAACAATTTCCGGAAAGAATGCAGAACAACATGAGGGGAACACATACGACGCGTGAATTCGGGCAGACGTCCTAAAACCACACATATACGTACAAAAAGTATTCCTACGGTACAGAATAACGAGAAAAGGTCATTTTTCCATCGCCAATGCATTCCTTGTGCCGAGTTTGGACTAAAATGCCCTTTACACCACTCCCGTGGGAGCAACGGTTCCCGAGATATCCGGCGTAGAAGTTGTGACCAATCAGCTCGCGGAGTCGAGGTCACGTGACGGCCTACCCCCTCTTCTTTCCCGTCACGTGACCTTGGGTATCATTCCGAGCTAATATCTCGGTAACCGTTCGTCGTACGGAGATTCTGCAAAAGGGGTTTTCGATGGAATCTTTTATGGAGAATGCGTTGGCGGTGGAAAATCCGGCAAATTTTAACCTCACTGTACTATATAACCGGAAATCGACTCGTGAATGCGTTCGGGTACGCTCTAACTCGCGGAAACAGTCGAGGGAGGCACTATCGTATGACCAAAGAGAGTTTGTTCTAGAATCACGTCAGCATGTCCCCTTCACGTAGCATTACGACCTACCGTCGTTCATACTTATTTTCCCTGCTCGTTCAGTTAGACACTTAACCTCTAATCGAGTCCTTAACCGGCGCATCTTAAGTTTAGTCAAGTACCGCATAATATTCAAACTCTCGAGCGCTCGAGAAACGTTCTACAAAGTGGAGTTCCCGATCGCCTGTGTGTAAAGTTAGGTTAGGGCTCTCGGTCGGTCCACGAGTGCCAAGATCTCGCCAAATCCTGTTGGGAGGATCGAGGGTATGAAGGGGAAACCTCTTTTCGAGGTTAGGGTACCATTTACATACCTTGACGAGCCCGCAGGACCGATCGTTTCCTATTCAGAAGTATCCCGTCTCTCGCCGTGTCCGCCATCTTGGATTACAGTTCCACTTCCCATAACGCAAATTTTCGTTTATGGGAAAGATGACTATATAAAATTAATAAATTAATTAGGCGTGTTCTTATTGAGTTGTATTAGACGATATTTATGCCCGGTTCCACCAACCTTGGTGAAATCATCGATTATCTAACCGTAGGTTAAAGTTAATCTTGGATTAGAGTTCCACTTCCCATAACGCAAATTTTCGTTTACGAGAGAGACGACTGTATAAAATTAATAAATAAATTAGGCGTGTTCTTATTGGGTTGGATTAGACGATATTTATGCCCGGTTCCACCAACCTCAGTTAAATCATCGATTACCTAACTGCAGGTTTAAGTTAACCTCTAAGTTAATCAGGGGTTAAAAATGTAAATGTTCACCACATTTGTTTACAGCGCGATTAACTAATCACCATTCGACGTAAGTTAAATTGGCGGTGAACACGTTCATGTGATTGGTTGATATTTTTGGGATCGATTCTGTAACACGGATATGGTGAAAATACTAAAAATGAACATCTTCCGCGATTCCGTAACATTTATTATGGTAAAAATGTGAAACATTTCGCGTGAGACTACTCGACTAGAAACTCCGAGTTCCTTTAGTCTTGAGATTTCACATTTTCACTTGGAGAACCGGGTGAATAAGTTCACGTGAGATGACAGTACGAGAAGTGAGCACTCTCGTCAAAAATACATAATAAAGGCCCAGGTCACCTTGAAGAGGTCTATTACGTAAAGCAAATTGAGTGAAAATGTGAAAAATGAGTAGTTTACGGTATTACGGAACGTTTTTGGTGGTGAAAATGCGAGACCATTCATATAGTGAATACGTAATTCGTCGAATAAACCCACGTGAGATGAAAGTGCGAGAAGTGAGCACACTCGTCAAAAATACGTAATAGACGCCCTGGTGTACTTTTATTTTAGAAAGCAAAATAGATGCATCCTTATCGAGACCACGGAGTCGATTCTGCAACTTTGGCCAGAGTGCTCACTTCTCGCACTATCACCTCACGTGAATTTATTCGCCTGGTTCTTCAAGTGAAAATGCGAAATCACTCGACTGAAGGAACTCGAAGTTTCAAGTCGAGTAGTCTCACGCGAAATATCTCACATTTTCACCACAGTGAATATTACGAAATCGCGGAAGATGTTCATTTTTACAATTTTCACCATATTCGAGTTATAGAATCGACCCTAACTATCTAATTTGGCTGGTTAATCTAAACGGCAGTTAATAGAAAATAACCCGCCGTTAAAATGTGGAACGTGCAACTCGTAACCGAGGAATAGCTTTTTAACCGAGGTTTGTGGAACCAGGGTTTAGTGACTGGTGTAGGAAATTAAAGATGGCGGACTCGGCAGAGGTAGAAACGTCATCAATGAGCGGGGCTATTTCGGGGTTAGGGAGAATCATTATTTATAGTAACCCAGAAGACTCTCACCGTGATGAGGCGGATTAGTATGCGTTATTTTCTTTCCTTCTTTTTTAGGAAATCCGAATTCGCGCCGCGATAGGTTAGGAATGCGATTTACATCGAGGCGGCTCGCTGGAAGTTGTGGCTCGTAATTTATTAGCCGTGGTGCTCCGTCGATAATTGGATGCATCGGAACGGAATGGAGGTTTCGCGATGTTGCATAACGCGTTCGACGTAACAGTTAAGCTACGCAGATTAACGGCAATTGATCTTTTCCGTTCGTACGGCTGCAGAAACCAGTTAACTTTATTTTAAAACCGAGCGAACGTTAAACTAACATGGCGTCACTGCTTCGAACTGAAAAACAAATCAATTTTCTGGGTCAACGGTGAGCACTGGAGAAAATTGCCTCCTACAAAAGTTACTCCTCTCGAGACCTTGAACAACTTTTGTCCGAGACATTTTTTCCAATTCCGCACCGGATACGCAGGAAACGGTCATTTTTTAGTTACTCCACGCAGTCATGTAATCTGGCTCGTAGTCATCTTTGTTGATCTAGATAATCATGTAGTTTGTGCATCTTTGTCCAGATACTTCATGGAATTATTATGTTCAGTCATGGATCACTCGTTAAACGAGGCTTTGGACTCGTTTCCGAACCGGGAGTGAACCTAACCTTGCAGTTTGCCATTACGGTAGAGGTGCTCGTTCAGCACGAACCATATAACGGCGCTAGAGTGCCGACGTAACTCCTAGCAGTGCGATTAGTGTTATTATCGATGCATAAAGTGATCGTCACACCATAGCACCGTTAGGTCGTGCATCGCCTCTACCGGCTAATTATGGAATTACGTACACTGATGACGCAGCGTGGAGGTCGCAGCGACTCGCCGAGTTCCACTTTTGGTTTCGGCGGTTTTCAAAACCACCGCTCGTTGAATAATTATTGAAAATATTTCCCGGTCCTAGTTTGGTGCGGAAATAAAACCGCTATTTAATGAAACATTTTCAGTAACCATTACTACAAGTTGCGAATGGTTCCAGAAAGCGTTGCAACGAAAAGTTCCATTTTGGATTTAACCTAAATGTGGAATAATTGTTGAAAGAGTCTTATCTTCATCCGTTTATGTTTTTCACGGAATTTCTCGTAATTTCATTAGAATCTGAGCTATAATTTAATCGAAATCATTGCCGTTTACATCACTAGTGGTTTTACAGAGCACCTAACGGCGATTAGTTCAGTGACGCCACCGCTGCGGCGCTGCCCGAAAAACTTCCGAAAGCCAATTGGCTTAACTTTCTGTTACCTAATTTTTGTTTCAAGCCAAGAAAAAAAATGTTAACCTGAAATCTGCACATATTAACTTTCTCATGTTAACTACTTGTTCATAAATTTGCAGTTTAGAATTGATTAACAAATTCCGGTATCTCCGAATGCTATGACTTAATCAAAATTATTGCCGTTTACATCACGAGTGG